CCCCAAAACCCCAAAACCCCAAAACCCCGCCTGTCTTTGCTTATGTAGATTTATCGTTGATATATAATTAAAATCTGTAAATATAGATCGATTATTAAAAATAGTAAAAATGATATCAATTCAGAAAGTTCAAAATAAGATTTGGACCTCTTTCACTTTGATTAATAGGTGCTAATTACTTAACAGATAAAGAAGGTTTTTCGCTGCTGGCTTTGGACTATAGTATGACAGAAAGTCAGATTACTACGAGACTTTGGGTGTTTCACCAAGGTGCGAAGAAAAAGAACTCAAGAAGGCCTATTATAAATTAGCATAGAAGTATCATCCTGATAAAGCAGGAGCAGGGGACAAGGTAGCAGAAGAAAAATTTAAGTCGATTAGTAATGCCTATGATACATTGAAAGATTAATCCTAGAGATAACTATATGACCAACTCAGAGAATAAGCACATAACCCTGGAGCAGCTTAATAGGACTACGGATAGCAAAATTCTAATGCGAGTGGCCAATAATAGAGAAGATAATCATAATCGTCATCCAATTATAATGAAAATTTCTACTCAGATAAAAGATCATAGGAGGACTTTTACAAATATTACTCTTAGTATGGCAATTAAAAACAGAAAATGAACGATTTCTTTAAGAACAGCAAGTGGACTAAGGATTTTTGGGACGAAGAAGGCCCTAATGGAAAAAAGTAAAGAGAGTAGTAATAATAAAATTAGAAGCAATAAAATGATAGTTATTATCAGACTAAAAAATAATAGCAAGAGGAAAATTACAGAAAATAATAGTAGAGGACTTAGGGACCAGATTTCAAGTACTCTGGTACACAATATCAAAAAAATGATGAATCAAGCAATCAATAATAATATTCATAAGACTTCCATCAATAATAGTATGACAAGTATATGAAAGAGAAACTAGAAGAAGAATTGAGACGAGGGAGAGAGGCTGACAGTAAATTTAATGATTTTAAAAAACAAAGACATGATCCAAAGCCAGAGAAAAAAGTTTATAAGAAATATGAACCGAATAAGGATAGTATGCATCATGAATCTAATAGAGGATATAATTCAGAATAATTCAAAAAAGCTCCTTATAAATCGATCTTCAAAGGATTTAATCCTTTTGAGATTAATGATTTTGAAAGGAATAGCAAAGATTAAAAGGAGTTTGATGATCTTTATGAAAAAGCAGACAGAAAAAGCTAGGAGCAGAGTCATGAATCGATGAATAGAGATTTTTTAAATACTAAGGATGTTAGTACCATCCTGCCAGTAGGAAGAGTTTTAGCTGCTCTTGGAATGCTTGGCTTGACATATAAGGCTGTTGACGTGTATGTTTAATGAATAAATATGTAAAATTCTGAGATAAATTGTAAATGATGTATCTTAAATCCAGCATTAAAATGAGTATGGGGTTTTGGGGTTTTGGGG